CATAGTTCTCTTTATAGACATCTTTCACGTCCTTTGTTAGGTAAACTCCCAAATATTTCATCTTCTTTGGCACTACTGTGAAAGGAATAGAGTTCTTGACTGTTTTTTCAGCTTGACTATTGTTGGTATATATAAAGGCTACTGATTTAAGAGTGTTGATTTTGTAACCTGAGACACTGCTGTATTCCTTGATCACTTCTAAGAGTTTTGTAGTAGAATCCCTGGGGTTTTACAAATATACAATCATATCATCTGGGAAGAGTGAAAGTTTGATCTCTTCTGACCCTATATGGATACCCCTGATTGCCTTTTCTTGTGTAATTGCAATGGCTAAGACTTCCGTTACAATGTTAAAAAGCAGTGGAGACAATGGCAAACTTGCCTGGTTTCTGATCTGAGTGGAAATTATTTCATTTTAACTCCATTCAATACAATATTGGCTGTTGGTTTGCTGTAAATGGCCTCTATCAGTTTAAGAGATGTGCATTCTTTACCAATTTTCTTAAGTGTTCTGATCAGGAAAGGATGCTGGATATTATCAAAAGTTTTTTCTGCATCAATTGAGAGAATCATATTGTCTTTGTTTTTTATTTTGTTTATGTAATGAATTATATTTATAGATTTACATATATTGAACCAGCTTTGAGACCCAGGGATAAAACCCACTTGGTCATGGTGTATAATTTGTTTGATGTGTTGCTGGATTCTGTTTGTTAGGATCTTGTTGAATATTTTCACATCAGTATTTATTAGTGATATTGGTCTATAATTTTCTTTTCTTTTTAGGTCTTTTCCTGGTTTGGGCATCAAGGTGATGTTTACTTCATAGAATGTGTTGGGTAATATTCCTTCTTTTTCTATATTTTGGAAGAGGTTGAGTAATATAGGTCCTAGTTCCTCTCTAAAGGTTTGATAGAATTCTGATGTGAAGCCATCTGGTCCCAGGGTTTTCTCTTTAGGGAGATTTTGGATAGTTGATGTTATTTAAGAACTTGATATAGGCCTGTTCAACACTTCCACTTGATTTTGGTTAAATCTTGGAAGGTGGCATGCTTCCAAGTATTGCTAAATTTCCTTCAGATTTTCATATTTCTGAGAATAAAGTTTCTTGTAATATTCATTAAGAATTTTTTTGAATTTCCAAGGAATCTGTTGTTATTTCATCATTACCATTTCTGATTGATGAAATTAGAAATTTTACTCTTTTTTTCCTGATTAAGTTAGCCAAAGGTTTATCTATTTTATTGACCTTTTCAAAAAACCAACTTTTTGGTTTATTAATCTGTTGTATAATCCTTTTGTTTTCAATTTCATTTAATTCTGCTCTAATTTTTGTCATTTCTTTTCTTCTGCTGGATTTGGGATTGGAACCTTCTTCCTTTTGCAGTTGCTTGAGATGTCCCATTAAGTTGTTAACGTCCTCTCTTTCTGTTCTCTTGAGGAAGGCTTGCAGTGCTATAAATTTCCCTCTTAGGACTGCCTTTGAGGTATGCCAGAGGTTCTGATAGTTCATGTCTTCATTATCATTTTGTTCCAAAAATTTGGTAATTTCCTTCTTAATCTTGTCTCTGATACAGCTATCATTCAGCAAAAGGTTATTTAGCTTCCATGTTTTTATATGAGTATGCAGATTCCTGTTGTTACTGAGTTCAACTTTTATTCCATGATGGTCCAAGAAGATGCAAAGAATAATTTCTATTATCTTAAATTTGCTCAGGTTAGACTTGTGACCTAAGATGTGATCAATTTTGGAGTATGTTCCATGGGCTGATGAGAAGAATGTGTATGCAGTTTTGTTAGGATGAAATGTTCTGTGATGTCTGTTAAATCCAGTGTTGAATGGTTAAGTTTAAATCTAAAATTTCTTTGCTTAGTTTCTTATTGGAGGATCTATCCAATGCTGCCAAAGGAGTGTTAAATCTCTGACAATTATGGTGCTGGAGGAAATCGAGTTGTTCATGTCTGTTACAGTCTCTCTTATAAATTGAGGCGCATTCTGTTTGGGTGCATAAATATTGATAATTGAAATCTCATCATATTGAGTATTACCCTCAACAAATATGAAGTGAGCATACTTATCTTTCCTTACTTTTGTTGATTTAAATCCTACTGTATCTGCAAATTAAATCGCAACACCTGCTTTTTTCCATTTGCCTGAAATATAGATGACCATCCCTTTACCCAGAGTCTATATTTATCTATTTACCATTTAAGGTAAGGTGAGATTCTTGTATGTAACAGATATTTGGTCTGAGTTTTTGTATCCAGTCAGCCAACCTGTGCCTCTTCAGAGGACAATTTAAGCCATTCACATTAATTGAGAATATTGATAAGCCTGGTAGAATTTTGGGTATCAAGTTTTTCAAAAGTCAAGTGGACATTTTTAATTCTTTCACCATATGTGGAAGTTGGAATTTGATCAAAAGTTTCTGAGTGAGTTTACTTTTGTGGTGGAAGATCACACTGGTCGTTAGGGAGGATAGGTCTGAGAATATCCTGGAGGGCTCGTTTAGTTATGGCAAATTTCTTCAACATGTGAATTAAAGTATTTAATTTCTCCATCATAAATGAAACTCAGTTTAGCTGGATACATGATCCTGGGTTGAAAGTTATTTTGTTTTAGGAGATTAAAAGCCAATGACCACCCTCTTCTAGCTTGAAAGCTTTCAGCAAAGAGATCTGCAGTCATTCTAATATCCTTCCCTTGTAGGTTATGGTTTTCTTATGTCTGGCTGCTTTCAGAATTTTCTCCTTCATATCAACTTTAGTAAAGTTAATTATGATGTGTCTGGGGTTGTCTTACTTGGGTTTAGCCATGTTGGGGTTCTGAAACTGCTATCTGAAATTTCAGAATCTCTTGGCATGTCTGGAAAGTTCTCCTTCATAATCTCATGAAAAAGGGCCTCTGTGCTTTGCGAAGCAACTTTGTCGCCTTCAGGGATTCTTATAAAGCGAATATTAGTTTTCTTCAAATTATCCCAAAGCTCCCTGAAAGAATAATCTGTTTTTGCTCTCCATTTCTCTTCCTCTTTGAGTGCTTGGGAGCGTTCAAAAGCTTTGTCTTCAATATCGGAAATCCTTTCTTCTGCTTGCTCCATTCTGTTACTGAGAGATTCTACTGTATTTCTCAGATCTTTGAGGGCTATGAATTCTTGTCTCAATGTGTCAAAATGTTTGATGATTTTGTCTTTGAATTCATTGAATTCTTGAGACACCTTTTGAATTGCTCCTTGAATCTCTAATTCCAACTTTACCTCCATTCTATTAATCTTATTTGCAATCCAAATTCTGAATTTGATTTCTGACATATATATGAAGGCTATTGATTTTGTATTCTAAGATATTACTATTTTTTTTTTTTTTAAAGTAAAATCTCTTGGCTCAGCACCTGTAGCTCCATGGTTAGGGCACCGGTCACAAACACAGTGGGGCTGGTAGGTTCAAACCTGGCCTGGGCTTACTAAACAACAATGACAGCTACAGTGAAAAAATAGCTTGGCATTGTAGCAGGCAACTGTAGTCCCAACTACTTGGGAGGCTGAGGCAAGAGGATCACTTGAGCATAACAGTTTGAGATTGCTGGGAGCTGTGATGCCACAGCACTCTACCAAGAGCAACACAGTAACAGTCTGTCTCAAAAAAGAAAGAAAGAAAGAAAAAATCCCATAGTGCTCACATCTAGTGGGTAAAAACAGACCCAGAAAGCAAGAAAATAGCAAATATGTAAAGTACAGATAAACTAATACTGTGGAGGAAAAGAAAGCACGGAGGGCAAGAATGTGTTCCTCAGGAAATGGGTTGATATCAAATGGGGTGAGGGAGAGAGTTCTCACTGTCAGGATCATTAAGGAACAGAGAAAGGAACATAGGAGGCAGAGGACCCTCATGACACCTGAGGACAGAGCAGCTCAGTCAATAAGAATAGCAAAGACAAAAACCCTGGGGCAGGGCATAATGGGGAAGCCAAAGCACCTATCTTTGTGTAAGATTTTAATGGAGGACAAGATTCCTCAAGACTGCCTTGGTCCCCATCAACTATTCCCAACATATCTGGGGGCTGACATTTTTGAACCAACAAAGGTGCTAAAAGACAGCACCATAATTTTCTAATGGTGAAAATTTGAATAAAATCTCTGGGGGAAAACTTATCCTACTGACAAAAAATGAGGAAAAACAAACTGGGTAGAATTTAAAACAAAATTTAATCACATTCTGCTGCATTATACACAGAGAATATCTGTTTATTAAAATTGAAAGGTCCATTAAATGAGAATAGTTACCAAAGTGCTTCTTCAGTGGATGTATGGAATAACTATTTGAGTTGAATCTTTGTTTTTCAAATTCCTAACACTTACAATTGTAAAAGTGCATTTTCTATTGTAGAAAAAATTTTTTTTTATTTCTTGAAAAATCTTTTTTTTTTATTGTTTGGAATTCATTGAGGGTACAAATAATTAGGTTCCACTTATTGCATTTGTTAAAGTCCCTCTTATAATTGTGTCCTGCCCCCAAGAGGTGTAAATTATGTAAAATAATAAAAATAAAATTAACTTGTTATATGATATATAAAGAATGTTATAGATTATGTATACATGTAAACATAAGAACTAAAAATGTAGATAAGTGGATGAGAAGTAGATTAGTCAAAGTTCCAGCCAGGAGAAAAGAAACCACTTGAAGATTTTGGAACACCTCAGAATATTCTTCTAAGTATTTCAGTGCGGTAACTTGTTAATGATTTGAACATTGTTTTGATTATTACAGAACACCAATAAACTACAAGTCTTCATGATTCTGTGGTATTAAGAAACATTTAGAGGTTTGCATCAAATAAAGGCCTATTTACAAAGGACTTGGTAGATAAGAATGTCAAGTTAATAAAAATCTCCCAATGTGAAAAAAAAAAAAGATTTTGGAACATTAAATATTTATTTCAAAAAATTTGGAATGTCCATGGGACAAGATGAGGCCATCAGAGTTCAGATGCTACAAGAAGACACCACAGCTCCTAGGGGTGGAAGACACAGAAGGAAGTGCTAATTCCACATCCCAGCAGCTCATCACCACCTGGTAGCAGGCAGAACCAGGTGAAGGTTGCCTGGCATGAGCTGGGACCACAGAGGAAGTATGAGTTCTGTTGGAGACACCACTCAAGGTGGAGAGACACTTGGCTCTTCCCTTTCTCCAGCGTTGCCATCTCCTCATAGTCCCTTCCAGATGGAGGCCAAGCTATTTGGGAGACAGAGAAAGCCCAGAGGCCACCTGGCAAGGAACCCTAGGAGGACAGTGATAGGACACCTTCACCCACTGTGCTGGGCAGAAATAAGGAAGAATAGGCAGAGAAGGACCTGAGAATGAGCAGGCAAATGAGCAGCAGAGGAAGGGTGAGGGGACTTGGCAATTTGAGGATAGGCATTTCCCTCTGGGAAGGAGGGAGTCCAGGGATGTGGGAGGGTCCAAAGTGGACTTCAGCTATATTAGTTACTCCTTATTTCTTTCATAATTTTTTGTAAAGCCTTGAGCTATACGATGAAATGTTAACATTTGTTACACTCATAATGTGGGTAACTAGATGCTCATACATTTCATATAACTGAAATATTTTATAAGAAATTATTTTAGAAAAAAGAAAATGTGAGGCTGGGTGCAGTGGCTCACACCTATAATACTAGCACTCTGAGAGGCTGAGGTGGATGGATTGCCTAAACTCAGGAGTTTGAGACCAGCCTTAGCAAAATGAGACCCACCTCTACTTAAAATATATAAACTATCCTCGAGTTGTGGTGGGTACCTGTAGTCCAAGCTATCTTGGATACTGAGGCAAGAGGATCACTTGAGCTCAGGAGTTTGAGATTGTTGTGATTTATGATACCAGGACATTCTACCCAGGGTGACAGAATGAGACTCTGTATCAAAAGAAAAGAAAAGGTGGTGGTGGTATGGAGTACAATGGTGGACCAGAAGGATTATCCAGCTGAGCTCTCCTAGAATGACTGGGGAAAAAGAGAGAACCCAGCCATACCTGGTGTAGGCCCCTTACCCAGAGTCATAGCTCAGGAAGCACAGTGAGGAGGATATACGTATGATCCAGAGCAATAGAAATCTGATGAATTAGGCAAGTGATTTGTTACCCACTGGAATTGGCTGGCCCCCCACAGAGGTCCAGGATGGGAGGAAGTCTTTCCAAACTTTTCAGTAGTTGTGGGAATGTGTGCATTGAGTGGAAGAGTGGGTAGACTCAAACAGTATACAGTAATCAGAGTTGAATACAGTTGGACTATATTTGCCATAGCTTTGGTGGCAGGTAAGACAGCCATAATGGGAAGGTTTCCATGGCCAGGGGGCTGCCATTGAGGAAAGGTTGTTAGAAGGTCTTAGCAGGGGCCTAAAGCATGGCCATCTTAATTCTCCCTGCTGAAATCAGAACTCCACTCTTGGGACAGATTAAGGGACTCCTGTACCCCATGGGAACTAGAATAAGGTGGCACTGTGAGACCTACCCCTTAAGGATTCCTGTGAGCCTTAAGATTGCAACCCAGCAGGGTCTGAATGCTGATGAAACAATAAGACAATCATCAAAAGCAACTCAGGAATAAGGAACATAGAGGGGGCTGGCTGTGTTCTCTGTCTCCTAAAAGAACCCCACAGCACCACCTGGTGTCTCAGTGACATAGTGCAACATATTGTCATCAAGAGCAAGGATTTCTGTTTTTTTTTTTTTTTTTGGTCACAAGAAAGAGTTTGGCTTTGATCAGGCCGAGGCCACCTCAAGACCTAAGTTCTGAGACAAGGTAATTTGAAGCAAAGGAGGAAGTGAAAAGGAAAAAGGAGGACAAGGAGATGAACAAGAAGAAAGAATACATGAGCAGAAAAACTCAGGCAACATGAAAAACAGAGGAACTCTCCCAAGGGACCATGAGGCAGGTACTGCAGAAGACTCCACCTATAAAGAATTAATGGATGTGACAGAAAGGGAGTTTAAAATATAGATGATAAAGACAATAGAAGGAATGGATGATAAAATTTAAAAACAGAACCAAAGTTGGATGAGAGAGATGTAGAGTACAGAAAAGATATGGTAGAGCTTATGGAAATGAAGGAGACAATTGGGGAATGTTAAGATGCAGTAGAAAGTATCAAAAATAGGTTAGACCATGGAGAAGAAAGAACCTCAGAGATAGTGGATAAAGTTTTCAAGATAACTCAGTTAAAGAGGCAGAAAAAAAAAGAGAGAGAGAGAGAAAGCAGAACAGTTGCTTAGAGAACTATGAGACTCCATGTAGCATTCAAACATATGAATAATAGGGATTCCTGGAGGGGAAGATTTTCCGAAAGGAACGGAAGCCCTACTAGAGACTATCATAAATGAAAACTTCCCAAGTTTTAGTAAAGACCCTGACAAACTCCTGTCAGATGGATATCAAACCCTGAGTCATCTCAACTCAAACACAACTTCTCCAAGACACATTATAATGAAGCTACCCAAAGTCAAGATGAAGGAAAAAATTCTGCAAGCAGCCAATAATAAGCACCAATTGACCTACAGGGGTAGAGCCATTAGGACAACATCAGACTTTTCTTTCTTTTTTCTTTTTTTTTTTTTTTTTGAGACAGAGCCTCAAGCTATCCCCCTGGGTAGAATGATGTGGCATCACAGCTCACAGCAACCTCCAACTCCTGGGCTCAAGCGAGTCTCCTGCCTCAGCCTCCCAAGTAGCTGGGACTACTGGTGCCCGCCACAACACCTGGCCATTTTTTGGTTGCAGCCGTCATTGTTGTTTGGCGGGCCTGGGCTGGGGATTCGAACACGCCACCTTAGGTGTATGTGGCTGGTGCCTTAGCCAGTTGAGCCACAGGCACCGAGCCAACATCAGACTTTTCAACTGAAACTTTCCAAGCCTGTAGCAGCCCATATACCCTATGGCTAGGAGGAGTGAGAGTTATAACACCTGTATAGCTCAATAATGGAACACCTTGGTGAAAAGGGCATGGGGGGGGTGGGATTTAGCTCTCTTAACAAGCATGAGAGCTCAAGAGATGAGAGTATTAGTGAATTGGCAGTCTCTACATCTGTGGAGTTAAGCACCACACGATCAGCTCTATATTAGGCTGGAGGAGAAGGCAGTCAGGAGTAAGCTCATTCTATCACAGACTTGCTTACTCTGACTCTGTTGCTTCTCCCGCTTTCATAATGCCAGCATGGTGTCTCTCTGTTGAAGCTTACTAAGCTCTATGAAAGACTTCTGTTGCTAAGATCAATTCTTCTAAGAATGCTTTACTCCCTCAAAGACTATTAATCTCTCTCTTTCCCTTCTGCTAAAGTAAATAGTCATCAGACACCTAAGAGCAATTGTTCCCGAGCAAGATAACAGCATAGTGGTCCATGTCTGGAACATAGCCAGATAAGCTGGGGACTGGAGACCTGGCCAGTCCCGGGTCCTGATAAGTGGTGACCATGAAGAGACCCCAACACAAGCCAGAAGAGCATGGTCATCCACCTTCAACATAATTAAACAAAATAATTTTCAGCCCAGAATTCCATATCCTGCTAAACTAAGCTTCAAACTTGATGGAGAAATCAAATCTTTTGTTATACAAACACTGAAGAAATGCATCAAAATAAGACCTCCTCTACAGGAAATACATAAACTTATTCTCAATACAGACCATTACAGTGGATCACCAGCAAAGTAAATACCCAAAAGCTAAAGGTCAAAACTTAGCTTCCACAAGGGTGCAAAGTATAAAACTATACAACAGACTTTCATAAAATCAGATGAATAGAACTCCACCACACATATTAATTCTCTCAATAAATGTTAATGGATTGAACTCATCAATGAAGAGGCACAGGCTGGCAGATTGAATAAAAAAGCATGAACCATCCATATGCTGTCTCCAGGAGACACACCTACCCTTGAAGGACAAATCAAGACTCAAGGAGTCAAGGTTAAGGGATAGAAAACAATAGTTCAAGCAAATAGAAATCAGAAGAAAAGAAGGGGTTGTAATCTTGTTTTCAGATACAAGCAGATTTAAAGGAACTAAAGTAAAGAAAGACAAAGATGGACACTTTATACCAGTCAAAGGATCAATACAACAAGATATTTATTTTAATTTTAAATATTTATGCACCAAATTTAAATGCTCCCAGATTTATGAAACAGACCTTGATTGGTCTTAGCAATATGATATCCCATAACACTATAATTGCTGGGTACTTTAATATCCCTCTGATAGAATTGTACAGAGCCTCTAAACAGAAACTAAACAAAAGATACAAAGAACTTAAATGTGACCCTAGAACAAATGGGATTAATAGATATATACAGAACACACCATCCCAAAGCTAAAGAATATACATTGTGGGTGGTGCCTGTGGAGTAGAGTTCAGGCCCCATATTCAGGGGGTGTGGGTTCAAACCCAGGCCCAGCCAAAAAAAAAAAACTGCAAAAAAAAAAAAAAAACCAAAAAGAATATACATTATTCTCATCAGCCCATGGTACGTACTTCAAAATAGATCTCATCCTAGGATACAAATCAAACCTCAGCAAAATTAAAAGAATAGAAATCATATTTTGTATCTTCTCAGACCACAAGGCAATAAAAGTGGAACTCAACTCCAACAAAGATGTTCATCCCCACACAAATGCACAGAAATTAAACAATGTTATGCTGGATGATAGCTAGGTCCAGGAAGACATAAAGGAGGAAATTGTCAAATTCCTCAAACATAACAGTAAAGCTACAAGCTATCAAAACCTGTGGGATACAGCAAAGGCAGTCTTAAAAGGGAAATTTATTGCATTAGATGCCTACATTCAAAAAAACAGAAAGAGAGTACATCACCAAACCTGTGATCACCTTTCTTACAGAACTGTAAAAAGAACAATCTAATCCCAATCCCAACAGAAGAAAAGTAATAACCAAAATTAAATCAGAGATTAATGAAACTGAAATCAAAAGAATCATTCAGAAATTTAACAAAAAGTTGGTTTTTCAAAAAAATAAATAAAACTAATAAACTTTTGGCCAGATGAAACAAAAAAGTAAAATCTCTAATAACCTAAATCAGAAACAATAAAGGCAAAATAACAACAGATACCACAGAGATACAAGAGATTATCTCTCAGTACTGCAAGCAACTTTATCCCCAGAAATTGGACAATGTGTAGGAAATGGATGAACACTTGGAATCACACCCTCTCCCTAAACTTAACCAAGAAGAAATAGATCTCTTGAACTGATTGATTTCAAGAACTGAGATCAAAAAAACAATTTAAAAAACTCCCAACAAAACAATGCCCTGGTCCAGATGGCTTTACACCAGAATTCTATCAAGCCTTCAAAGAAGAGCTTATACCCATTCTGCAGAAATTATTCAAAAAAATTGAGAAGGAAGGAATCTTCCCCAACACATCTATGAAGCAAACATCACTCTGATACCAAAACCAGGGAAAAAACCCAACTAAAAAGGAGAACTTCAGACCAATTTCACTAATGAATATAGATGCAAAAACTCTCAATAATATCTTAGCCAATGGATTATAGCTGCACATTAAAAAAAATCATTCATCATGATTAAGTAGGTTTCATCCCAGGGATACAGGGCTGGTTTAACATACGCAAGTTCATAAATGTTATTCACTATATCAACAGAAGCAAAAACAAAGACCATATGATCCTTTCAATAGATGCAGAAAACACATTTCATAAAATTCAGCATCCTTTTTTAGTTAGAACACTTAAGAATATAGGCATAGATGGCACATTCCTTTTTTTTTTTTTTTTTTTGGCCAGGGCTGGGTTTGAACCCACCACCTCCGGCATATGGCACCCTACTCCTTTGAGCCACAGGCGCTGCCCGATGGCACATTTCTTAATCTGTTTGAACCCATCTATGACAAACCCACAGCTAGTATTATACTGAATGGAGTAAAACTGAAAGCTTTTCCACTTATAAGTACAACCAGACAAGGTTGTCCTCTATTGCCACTACTGTTTAACATAGTGTTGGAAGTTGTAGCCAATGCAATCAGGCAAGAGAAGAAAATAAATGGCATCTAAACGGGAACAGAGGAGGTCAAATGCTCTTTGCCAATGAGATAATCTTATACTTAGAGAACCCCAAATACTCAATCACAAGACAGGCAGGACACAATTATAAGAGGGACTTTCTCTAACAGATCAGTATAACCTAATTCTTTGTACCCTCAATAAATACCAAACAATAAAAATAAATAAAAAGAAAAGCAAAATGTTTTACATTAATAGCAAAAGTAAGCACTTTCTTGCTCAGATTGGCCATGTTGTCTGCTCCACTCCCAAGAATGTGTCACACAACTTTCAGTGAACAGCAGCACCTTTTGGATCCTGTGGGCCCTGTCACCAGCGCCACTGACAAATTGGTGTGATGGTGTATTAAGGGCAGGAAAGAAGAGGAGGACAAATCCTGGGAGGTCCCCAGAGCCTCTCAGCTGTGAAGCCTGGTTCACCTCCCAGCCCTGGGTGCCCTGGAGCAAGTTCCCTAACCTCCACTGCCTCCTTTACTCTTCTGGAAATGTGAATGATAAAGGCACCAGCCCCAGAGGGTTGTTTCTAGGATTCAATGACTTCACCCACATGAAAAGCACTTCAATTCATGTTGGTGCATAGTAAACTCTCAACACAAGCTGGTTATTGTTATTGTCTTTTATTCTTTTTATCTTTGCACTATCTCATTGTTACCAGAGTTTCAGGTGTTTGACAATCATTTGTCCAGATCAAATAAATGAAAACCACTTGTCATTTCGTATGAGAGCCCTGCTTTTCTGTGACAGGTATCTCCTAGTTAAACACGGGCATCTAGACATAACACTGCCCAGACTCTGGCCGCACAAGGGCAGGCGAAGCACGATTCAGGTAAGTTTGGCTAAAAGAAGACTTGGATGGGGAGGGAAACACTTCAGTGAGGAGAGAAGACTCACTGGGAAATCCCATCAAGAGATTCAGCTTCAATATTCTTCACTGAAGGGATAATCCTCCAAATGAGAAACTCTGCAGGGAAAAAAAAAGCACAAAGAAGAATCTGTTCCACAAAAGCCATATTTGGACTTCAAAGGCGTCTTCTCTGACACGTTCTGTGGTCTCTGTGTTCTCTCAGCTTCTGCCCCAAAGATGTGTTCAGACACAAGAAGGGTGCTCGCCCCTCCACCTTCCCTCAGGCTGATCTGAGGACTCTGCTAGGAAGATGGCCAGGCAAGCAGGGACCAGGGTGACAGAATGGACTCGTAATGACAATCCACATATGCCTGGTGGCAAGCTAAGTGCCTTCCAGGATTGTCCCACCTCACTCTCAAGATGTGCTGAGGTGGGAATCCCAGTTTGGGGGATGTTGAGTATTAAATGAGATAATAACCCAGGTGAAGGGCATAGGACCCTGGCACATTCCAAGCTCACATTCAGCGGACCTTACCTCGGAATAGTATCATCATCCCTACTTTATACGGAAACCATTTGGGGAAAGAAGGAAGTTACCCACAGTCAACACAAGTCATAAGACAATGGTAGAGCTGGGATTTGATTTCAGGGTGATTGACTCCTGAGCCCACCAATCCACAGACTCGGGGAAATGACGCTCATAGGTGAAGCGCCTACAGTTTAGGAGAGAGTCACATTCTGTGTTGGCCTTTCCTTCTCCCTCTAAGTAGCTGCTGCTTTTTGACCTCTGATGAAAGTAAGCAGTTGTCAGCTGGGTACCTGTTGCCACGAGATAGAGACGGTGGGCAGGAGGGACGAGGAATATAACAACATTGAGCAAGGCTGGAGATAGTGAAATACTTTTTCAAAAGTGAAAAGCAAATGTTGGGCTTAAAAACATAAAAAGATTAAAATTGTGGTTGATCTTGGCATGTGATCATATAAGTCACTTCCCAAATACAAATATCTTTGAAAATTTTAATTAGCAATATTTATCAGTAAGTATTGATGAAAAAGAGATCATTTAGAATGATCACCTCATCAGAATGCATATTTTTTGTCAAATACTTTTAAAAATTGAAATAAAGTAAAGTTATTCCTGCCTCCTCTAAAGAGGCATTCAAATAACAATACCTAGAACTAGGAAATCCCTAGATGGAGGGAATCCTGTAACTGACAGAATAAATTCTCCCACCCACCTGTTGCTGCATCTTGTGCCAACAATACATCCCTTGTGCTACTACCAAATACTTCCCTGCAGCCCAGACCCTCCTCTTTAACTCCACCCTGATGTGGCCCAGTGCCTGCTTGACACCCCCAATAGATGTCTAATAGCATCACAAACATGCTTTCTTCCAAGACATAGCAAGTCCCTTCTTGTGTTCCTCAGGAAAATACAAAAAAAAAAAAAAAAAAAAAGAACAAACTGTGAAGATGTCATTGAATCCTAGTTTGTTAGCAAATTCTACTTCCCTAATATATGCAGAATCTGATCACTCCTCTCTGCTC